TGGTTTTGTTTTTAAAAAAAAATTGCACCAAACACGTTTTTAACACCCGTTTTCATTTTTTTGCTTTGAAAACCGTGAAAAACGAAAATGAAAACGCAAACAAACAGGCCCAATATGTTGATACAACACATAATTTGCTTTCCATTTACACATAAAGTCTAACAAAAATTAAAAATATCTAGAAATGAATATGCTGATTTAACATATAATTTGCTTTCAACCTAAACATATATAGCATTTACATCTTCAAGTATAGGAATGCAATCATGGATAAATATAACCAATCTATAATTAATTTTTCAATTTAAAACATAGATAACAATCTTTTTAGAATGATAATGTAAACTTATTAGAAAGCTATAAACTTTCACATATTATATAAAGCAAATGATTAAACAAAAATCAATAAACTTGTTTTATATATAAAATGATGATTGAACAAATGCATCTTCTCTTCTATGTATAACTAGGTTGAGGGACGTGCCTTAGGCACGACCCATTTGTAACAATGTTCCTTTTTTTTCCCCACTGTGCAGTTTGCATGTTTTTTATTTAGTTAAAATTATAAAAATATTTCAATACAAAAATGTTTTTTTAATTGTTTCTTTAAGAAGAAATAAATATATATACTAATAAAGTCGATTTACTTTTTTAAAGTCAAACTAAAAAACATACTAATCTTGTTTTTTAAGGGATACCAATAATGTTTTAATTACGATACACATAAATAAATATAACCAATTTATCATTATTTTCAAAGTAAAAAATTGCATGCATAAAAATTTATACAATAACAGTGTAAAATTATTAAGAAGTTTTAAATTTTAACCTAAATAAAATTATAGTTCGATGAAAATCAACGATTACATATTATGTATTATGAAGGTTGAAAAAAGTTGAAAATGTATACATCTTCTCTACTATAAGTAAAGATATATATTAAAGAGTATAGAGATTCACAAGTGAAAATATTTATGAAAATAAAAAAGAAAATAAATGAGGTGTTTAAAAAAGGAAATTAATGGAAAAAATATATATTTTAATGAGAAACAATGAAAAATAAAAAAAAAAAAAAAAAAATTTAAAAAAAAAAAAAAAAAAAAAAAAAAAAGGAACAACGCTTAAAATACAGTTAAAGAAAACAAAGGAAGAAAAACAGAAAAATACAATATCCTTTTTTTAAGGTAGAAAATACAATTTGCCAATAAAAAAGGAAAAACAAAAGTTGCAAGCAAGCAAAACACAGTTTAAGTACGAAAACCTTTGAAGCTCATATGTGCTTCTTTATATCTTATATGATATAGAATATAAGCGCCTCGTCATGAAGCTTTGCATAAATTTAAATGACAAATGATTGGGGGCTTTAATATTAGGGATGACAATATTTTTTACGGGACGTGGATCCGCCTTGAACAGAATGAGATTAGGGAACAATTATCATAGATGGGGATAGATCCCAATTTGTGGTGGGGTGGGGATGGGGGAAGTACTCCCCATCCCGCATTCTTGTTTTTTTCTTATGTAATTTTATATATTTATACATAATCTCTTAAAATTTTAAGTTTTTTGAACTATGATTTTTGAGAAGAAATAACGTGCAATCATGCTATAAAGAAAGAAGCTATTAAGAATAGACAATGAAGGATAATTTGCGTTTATGTTTTTGAACTTTTTTTCGCTTATACATTAGTTATTACTTTTGGATTTAGTTTGCAATAGGTTAAGAATTTAGTTTTTAGTTTTTTTTATTTTTTATAAAACCTTTGATTTTAGTTTAAATTTATAATGAATTTCTATTTTATTTTTATTTTGAGTTGCTATAATTCTTAAATACATAATCTTATATAATGAGGAATTGAGTGGGTATAGGGAAAGCTTGTCCAATGAAGAATTGCCGACTCCGACCCTGTTCCTGCTTAAGCGGGGATGGAGATAGGAAATAAGACAATTTAAGGAGGTGGAGATGGGGATAGGAAATCATCCTCCGTCCCCACCTGCCCCATTGCCATCCATATTCAAAATTGACACTTATACGCTTTAATTGAATTATAAAAATTGAATCTAATATATTTAAATGAAAGGAGATTGAGCCGTTCGATTAACATTACTTGTTAACTAATGAGCTCGCGTAATGATATAACATTAAGGGCTTGTTTATTTACACCCAAATTAAAAAAAAAGTTTAAACTCAAGTTACAACTTTATTCAAGTTCATATTCTTTTGTAAAATTTGAGTTTTAACTTGAGTTATGACTAAAATTTGAGTTCAAGTTTTCCCTTCAACTCAAGTTCCTAAACTCCAACTCAAGTTAATGAACATTATTTTTTTAATTCTTAAAAACGCCATAACTTTTTCATTTTAATTCCGATTGAGATGTTTTTTTTTCTATGCGTTCACAACGAAGAGACAAATAAAACCCCACCCATATACTCTATTAAAATTTTCCATCACTATTAAGTTTTTATTAAAATATTATCCAAATACAAATTTAAATTTGCACCCACCCAAACACAAACTCAAACTCAAATAGATTATCAATTCTAACTATAACTCAAAATGTGCATATCTAAACAAAAATGAAAAATTAGAGTCTCACTCAAATCATACTCAAATACACATTAACTCAAATTTAAATCTGAACTCAAATCACCTTAATTCAAAAAAACAAATGAACAAGCTCTAAGTTTTTTTTTTTAATTCTTTAATTTATTTATACATGATTTATATAAAATGCCTTTTATTAACTAGTAGGAAGGGATTCACTTGACTTTTTAATTTTTTTTTTTTTTGCGATAAAAAAGTTTTATTTTTTAAAAGAGTAATTTTCTTTTAATGACTTTTGTGACCACGTAGTCAAATATGAGACAAGTATTAAGGTCTAATTTACAACATGTCAAAATTGAAGGGGCCAAAATAAAACAATAAAAACATAGTTGAGGGATCAAAATTGAAATTTAAGCCCTAATTATTATTATTATTATTATTATTATTATTATTATTATTATTATTATTGTTATTATTGTTATTATTTGCTAAGGTGTCCCTAATCTTATTATTTGAGAGACTAATGTTGTGTTTGGAATTATTCTTATTTTTATTTTTTATGTTTTTTGAAAAAAAATTAAAATGATTTTAAAACGATGTTTTGCACAACTAAAGACAAAAACGGAAATAAAAATGATTTTTTAGTTTAGAGTACAATAAGAGGGAAATGAAAAATGACTTTTAGTCGTTTTTCATTTTTTGTTTTCATTTTCTTCTCTTTCAAGTAGAGAGAGACATTGGGTGCGTTTGGAATTGATTCCAAAACGTTTTTGTTTTCTGTACGAAAATGAAAATGAAAACGTTTTTAGTTTCATTTTTGAATTATTATTGAAAATGCGTTTAGTAGTTTTATTTAGAGATTGATTTCAGTTTTAAAAAAAACTGAAACTGCGTTTGGTGGTTTAATTTTTGAAAACATGTAATAATATATTAAATAAACATATATAATACAAAAGCGGTTTCAGAAAAGAGGGAAGAAAATGAAAAAAAAAAAAAGAGAAATCCGTTTTTAGAAAACAGAAAACGAAAACGAGAAAATGAAAACACAAACAAACAGACCCATTAATATGTTTTTTTATACTGAAAACAATCTCTTGATAAAACTACTAAATGTATTTTCAAAAATAATTTCTATTTGAGATTGAAAACGTTTTCATTTTCATTTTCGTACAGAAAACAAAAACGTTTTGGAATCAATTCCAAACGCACCCAATGTCTCTCTCTACTTGAAAGAGAAGAAAATGAAAAAAAAAAAAAGAGAAATCCGTTTTTAGAAAACAGAAAACGAAAACGAGAAAATGAAAACACAAACAAACAGACCCATTAATATGTTTTTTTATACTGAAAACAATCTCTTGATAAAACTACTAAATGTATTTTCAAAAATAATTTCTATTTGAGATTGAAAACGTTTTCATTTTCATTTTCGTACAGAAAACAAAAACGTTTTGGAATCAATTCCAAACGCACCCAATGTCTCTCTCTACTTGAAAGAGAAGAAAATGAAAAAAAAAAAAAGAGAAATCCGTTTTTAGAAAACAGAAAACGAAAACGAGAAAATGAAAACACATTTTTTTCGTTTTCTGATTTCCACAAAAAGACAACAACGTTTTTGGTTTTGTTTTTTAAAAAAATTTACACCAAACACATTTTTAACACCCGTTTTCATTTTTTTGCTTTGAAAACCGTGAAAAATGAAAATGAAAACACAAACAAACAGACCCATTAATATGTTTTTTTATACTGAAAACAATCTCTTGATAAAACTACTAAATGTATTTTCAAAAATAATTTCTATTTGAGATTGAAAACGTTTTCATTTCTATTTTCATATAAAAAATAAAATTATTTTAGAACGACTTCCAAACACATCATAAATGGGACGTTTGGTTAGAGGATTCGTATTGTTCGTGACTTGGTATAATATTTTCTCTCATAAAAAATACACATAAATCAAAAATAAGTCTGAATCATGATTTTAAATTCATCAACTAAACGTCCTCAAAATGATTTAGTCTATACATTTAAATCAATAATTTAATTTTAACATTTAAATTTTAAATTTTTTATAAAAAAAATGTTATAACATAATTAAAATGATGAGTTTAAACTCATAAAACCAAGAGCCTTAGATCCAGTTCATTTCGCTGATTCGAGTTTAGAATTTGAGTTTTGTTACAGTAAAAAACTTTCACAAATAATCACATATAACTTTTTTATTATAGTAAAAAACTCTCACATAAAATTATATCTCAACTCGAATTAAAAACTTGAATCAACGAAATGAATGAGACCTAAAACCCTACATTGACAACTCACAACTGACAAGGTGTTCTAGCAAATAGACTACAGACAGAAGTTCATCATCAAACGACACGTGGCTTAAAAAGGAGTCCACGCGCCAGTCCAATTTTCACCATGACAACAACAACAACTTATTAGCAAATAATCCCACGCGCTTCTTCTCTCTTCAACAGCTAATCTCTCTATCCTCTTTCACTTTCTCTCTCCTCTCTCTCTCTCTCCTGAAAATTGAGACGGGTCATAGGCTGCGCTCTGTGTGTGTGTGTTTGCGGAGGAGGAGATACCGCCACACTTGGCACCTGCAACCCCCACCACTTCTCTCTCATCCTCTCTCTCTCTCTGTGTTTGTGCGATTGAGAGAGAGTATCAATTAAAATTTCGGCGGAGGGGTGGCAAAAACCCTAATCTGATTGACTGATCACTCTACGAAGTTCGGAAGCTCCATGGGGTTGGGACTCTAGCTCAAGATCAGGCCTTTTTCGTTTTTCTGTGTTTCTGGCTATGGCGGTCTTCTCCTAGTTCTGACTTCAATTCCGAGGAGGGAAAATGTCTGTCGCCGAGCTGAAAGAGCGCCACGTGGCGACAACAGAGACGGTCAACTCTCTCAGAGAGCAATTGAGGCAGAGGCGACTTTCTTTGCTCGACACCGATGGTCAGCCACCCTTTGATTCTTTCGTGTTCTTTTTCCTATTTCTTGCTTTATTCCATTTTATTTTATTTTATTTTGGTTTTTAATTTTTCGATTTTTGGATCTAATTGGTACGATGTTGAATTTTTGCAGTTGCGGGATATGCCAAGTCTCAGGGAAGAACACCGGTCCGGTTTGGACCTACGGATCTAGTGTGCTGCAGAACTTTGCAAGGTCATACTGGAAAGGTGAATACAGTTATATATAAATACACATATAATGAGCTTTCTGCTATATATATAATCTTTTTGCTGTTATAAATAGATTGATGGAATTTGTAGAATTATTAGTTTTTGTTTTTTATGTTTGGAACTGAAGTAAAAATACCGGTGAAGATCAGCAAATTCTTGGGAAAAGTTTGAATTTTTAGGATCATTTGAAGTTTTGATGACTGATGTTAATGAAGGTTTGAGTAAACATGTTGTTGAAAATGAAAACTTGTTATACTATTGGTTTCTACTTTTTTGACCATGTATGTTTGTGCTTATGCGTACTTGACCTCCAAAAGCTTGTTATGATAATTTGTGTTGCTATTTAGTATTATTTACCACTGTCCAGTTCTAGCTTTGTTTATATATTTGATTGTCTTATTATTTAGGCTAACGATTGTGTATTTGGCCTGTTGGCGTAGCATAGTTTGTTGCATAGTTTGTTTATTTTTTCATTGGATGGATAAATTTAAATAAGATTTATGCTTATGGAGAATTTTTCAGGTGTATTCATTAGATTGGACTCCTGAAAAGAATCGGATTGTAAGTGCATCTCAAGATGGGCGATTGATAGTGTGGAATGCGCTAACAAGCCAGAAAACCCACGCTATAAAGCTACCATGTGCATGGGTGATGAACTGTGCGTTTTCGCCGACCGGCCAGTCTGTTGCCTGTGGTGGTCTTGACAGTGTTTGCTCTATCTTCAATCTTAATTCACCAACCGACAGAGATGGGAATCTGCCTGTAGCGAAAACGCTTATTGGTCATAGGGGTTATGTTTCCTCCTGTCAATATGTTCCAGAGGAGGACACTCACTTAATTACCAGTTCTGGTGATCAGACCTGTGTTTTGTGGGATATCACTACAGGCCTTAGAACTTCAGTTTTTGGTGGTGAATTTCAGTCTGGACACACTGCAGACGTACTGAGGTATTTTAATAATTAAGACTTTAGAGACACCAGACAAGTATTGAGCTAAGTCACATTTGCATGGTTTTCCTGAAGGAGATTAGATTCAACAGTGCTCACACAGAAGTATCCATATATACATGTAACAGGTTTATAGATATGCCTAAAATGGACATACTTATAAGTTATATGCACATGCATAAATAGAAATATATATATATATATATATATATATATTTGGCTAAAGAAGTTGAAGAATTTGCGCAAGTGGCTAGTACTTGAAATTGAAAAAATGGAGGTTAGGCAAGAGTTGGTTCCTTTTTTTTTTTTTTTTTTATACAACACGGGATTGAACCTACAACCCCCACCTAAATCTGACCCCACTCAAATCCCCCAGTGCCACTAGGCCAAGAGGTCTTAGGCAGGCAAGAGTTGTTTTATGTTAGTAAATTTTCCCAAAGAGTTCAGAAAGCTAGCATTGTGTAAGCTTAGGCTACAGAGGGAAAATTTGCATCATTTGTTCCTCTGCAGTTACTGTGAAATTAATCGGGCTCCTATACTCGATGAATTGAATATATTGTGAAATTTCTACTTTTTGGAACCCTCTATATGGTTCTTTCTGGTTATCCGTATTCTTATTCTTTTTTGCTCGAAATCTGAAATATACGACATCAAAGTGGTCAAAATTCGTTTTGCTTGCTTTATCTGCTCTGGATATGTATCGGTGAAAATAGAAACTTTTCTGTTCCCTTTACGTATAATGTTGCCTTACAATTTTTTATGCAATATCATGTAAAGTTGGCAAGTGATTATTTTTCGGTATTGCAGTGCAAAGATTTTGGCTTAAAGATCAGGACCCCACTCAAAAATCTTACTATAAGGTTGCTTTTTTGTTGTTTCAGTGTTTCAATTAACGGATCCAATCCAAGAATGTTTGTATCTGGTTCATGTGATGGAACCGCCCGACTGTGGGATACTCGCGTGGCAAGTCGAGCAGTGCGGACGTTTCAAGGTCATAAGGGAGATGTTAATTGTGTAAAGTTCTTTCCAGATGGAAATAGATTTGGAACTGGCTCGGATGATGGAACTTGCAGGTTATTTGATATCAGGACTGGGCATCAGCTCCAAGTATACCAGCAGCAGCATGGTGACAAAGATGAACCGTCTGTGACTTCAATTGCATTCTCCATATCAGGAAGACTTCTCTTTGCTGCATACGGAAATGGCGAGTTTTATGTGTGGGATACTTTATTGGCCGAGGTAATTTCCAAATTTTGCATATTAAAGTGGCCTTTGATGCAAACTCTCTTGCATAGCCAATTGAGTGACACATTCATAGTATTCTTGTTCATGATCAATTATTAGAGTTGTCTTGGGAGATTATTAGAGTTTTCAAGCTAATTTTTAATTCCTAAATATATTTGTTGGACATAAGAGCGCTTTTCACATGGAGTTTGTAAAAACAACAATTTCCAAATTTTGAACTATCTCATCTGGCGGTTTAGTTGTGTATTGGTCTATAACATGTGTAAATGGATCTTTCTGATGGTTCCCCCACTGTCTGTAATTTCCATCTTTCCTGGTTTCTACGTCAAACTCTCCCCACCTAGAGTTATCATGTCCAAATAATAACTTAAGAGCATTTTCAATGCAATGGCAAAATTTGGAATTCGGATATGAATATCATTGTCCAATGAAATGCTATACTCAATATCAAATTTGGCATTTGTTGCTTATTTGTTGATGCGTTGACCTTTTCACTTTTTAATCACACAACATTGCCCTTTTCAAATTAATTAACACTTAAAAAAATTTCTTTTTACAAGTTCCGAAGCTTAAAATTTATGACAAAAAATAGATTTAGTATTTAAATAACATTATGCATTGTAGTACAAAATAAAATAAGATATCAAATATACCATTTTTTACTCTTCTTTTCTTGCCAAATATAACATTGGCTTCAGCATTTGCATTGGAGATGGTCTAGCCACTAAACTTTGTATACTGATTCTCCTTCCTGTACATATCTCCAGTTTTTCTGCTTGTATTACGGTAGATTTCGTATAATGTCATTTTAATGGATTAATCCTTCTATTTGTGGTAGGTTGTTTTGAACTTGGGATCTCTCCAAAATTCACATGAGGGCCGAATCAGCTGTTTGGGTTTGTCCGCTGATGGGAGTGCCTTGTGTACAGGAAGTTGGGATACAAACCTCAAGGTTGGTATAATAAACCCACATTAGAAAACGTGATTCTTGAAAATATTACCAACTTCGCGCCATTAAAAGCAAAACATCTTTAAAGGAATTCTCAGAGCTATATGATTCATGCAATTAGGGAGATCGTTAGTACTTAAAACCTTCTTAAGAGGCGAGGTGACATTGATTGTCTAGAATCTGAAATAAAATTCTACAGAATAATGTTAATGCTAAATTCGGCTGCTGCTTATAAAAAAAGAATGTTAAATGATAAAGTATACTTTTTTGATGTGAGTGCTAGATTCATTAAGTATCTATGTTCAACTAAAAGCTTTAGGTGACTTTTCGTTTATGGATATTGAGCACTGAAGACATTCATTGGAACTCTACTAAATTTTACCTAATCAAACATAAAATCACGTCATCGCTGATCTCTCTACCCTTTCTAAGGAATTGATTTTGTTCTTTTGTTGTCAAATTCTCATGCTCTTATTTCAAAGGGAAGAAGTCTGATTGATTTTTTGGTTTCTGATTGATTTTTTGGTTTTAATGTATTTCTCCAGATATGGGCTTTTGGAGGGCATAGGAGGGTACTTTGATCCCGGGAAAGTATGAAAGTACTGCCGTTGTCTCTTGAGGTTCATGTCTTCTCGAACCCGTGGTTGTTTTTGTCATCTCACACCATTCTTTGTTTGGGTTTTGAGAAAACTACAACCATGAATCATGTGATGAATTGCTTGTTGTAATCCACATCCAGAAATGTGACCATTTTAATATTGAAACGAGTATATATTGCTCGAGACCTTCTGCACAAGAGACTGTTTTCTCTCTATATGCCTAAATTTCAATTCCACCATTATATTTTCTCTTGCCTGGATATTTCTACACATACCCTTTTTGGCTGTAATATTTCCACCTGTACTTCGCCTTTCTTCACTGGGTATCATCGATCAGAATGAGTTGGAAACCTATAATTTTATTGTGGTTCAGCTTCAGTCACCCTTGGTGTATCGAAATTTTGGTAAACAAATGGACTTTCTCAAGGAAGAAATGAAGGAAAGCGAGTCGAAAAATATGGGTTTGAACAAATGTGTGGTACTTGGCAAAAGAAATGACAAAAGAAAAGAATAGAACTTGGTCATGATCAGTCGACCAGATTTTTTTTCCCCAGGCGAATTTATTTATATTTGTTTTTCAATAAAATGCCACAAGGCTAGCGAAAAAATTGTTACGAAAAAGAGAGAAAATCATAAAAAATAAAATATTTATCAAAAAATAGTATTAATTCTTAAAAATTATGTATTAATTTTAGAATGTAAAATATAAATAAAAACAAGAACATTCGACCCATCTCGACCTTAGGCGTCCCACTGCGCAAGTCGGAGGTTTTTTTATTTTTATTTTTTTCATTTTTTGAGGCCATTTTTTGTAGGCATGTTTAGAAAAATATAAGGATCGTGTCTAAAATTTCAGAATTTTTTGACGTATATATTTTATTTTATTTTGTAAAGACGAAAAATAAAGAAAATCATAAAAAATAAAATATTCATGAAAAAAATGGTGACGCTATTGCATTAATTCTTAAAAATTGTGTATTAATTTTAGAATGCAAAACATAAATAAAAAGGAGAATTTTTGACACATCCCGGCCCCTGGGCGCCTCCTTGTGCGGGCTGACAGCTTTTTGACATCATTTTTCTTATTTCATTTTTTGCAGGCATGCTCAGAAAAATGTAAGGATCGTGTTTGCAAAATTTTAGACTATTTTGACATCGTTTTTACTTTATTTTATTTTTCAAAGACAAATAATAGAGAAAATCTTAAAAAATAGAATATTCATCAAAAAATGGTGTCGCTTGTTGCATTAATTCTTAAAAATTGTGTATTAATTTTAAAATGCAAAACAGAAATAAAAATGTGAATTTTTGACCCATCCCGGCCCCTGGGCGCCCCACTGCGCGTTCTGAGGGTTTTTTGACACCGTTTTTCTTTTTTTATTTTTTAAGGCCATTTTTTGCAGGCATGCTTAGAAAAATGTAAGGATCGTGTCTACAAAATTTCAGAATATTTTGATGTCATTTTTATTTTATTTTATTTTTCAAAGACAAAAAATAGAGAAAATAAAAAAAATAGAATATCAAAGAAAAACTGGTGCTGCTTGTTGCATTAATTCCTAAAAATCATGTATTAATTTTAGAATGTAAAACATAAATAAAAATGTGATTTTTTTTACCAATCCTGGCCCCTAGGCGCCCCAATGCGCGGTCCGTGGGTTTTTTGACAGCGTTTTTATTTTTTCATTTATTGAGGCCATTTTTTGTAGACGTGCTCAGAAAAATTCTGTAAAATTTTAGTATTTTGATGTCGTTTTGATTTTATTTTCTTTTTCAAAGACGAAAAATATTGAAAATCATAAAAAATAGAATATACATCAAAAAATAGTACCGCTTGTTGCATTGATTCCTGAAAATCGTGTATTAATTTTAGAATGCAAAACATAAAAAAATATAAATTTTTTACCCATCCCGGCCCCTAGGCACCCCACTACACTAGCTAACGACTTTTTGACATCGTTTTTCTTTATTTCATTTTTTGAGGCTATTTTTTGCAGGCATGCTTAGAAAAATGTAAGGATCTTATATGCCAAATTTCAAACCACTTCGACGTCGTTTTTATTTTATTTTATTTTATTTTTTGAATACGAAAAATAAAGAAACTATTAAAAAATAAAAGATACATCAAAAAATGGTGCCGCTTGTTGCATTAATTCTTAAAACCCATATATTAATTTTAGAATGCAAAACATAAATAAAAATGTGATTTTTTGACCCATCCCGGCCCCTGGGTGCCCCACTGTGCGGTATGGGAACTTTTTGACAGTGTTTTTCTTTTTTCATTTTTCAGGTCATTTTTTACAGGCATGCTCATAAAATTGTAAGGATCGTGTCTACAAAATTTCAAAGAGTTTTGACATAATTTTTATTTTATTTTATTTTTCAAAGACGCCAAATAGAGAAAATCATAAAAATTAGAATATTAAAGAAAAAATGGTGCCGCTTGTTGCATTAATTCTTAAAAATCATGTATTAATTTTAGAATGCAAAACATAAATAAAAATGTGATTTTTTGACCCATCCCGGCCCCGGGGCGCCCTACTGCGCGGCCTGGGAGTTTTTTGGCATCATGTTCCTTTTTTCATTTTTTGCAGAGATGCTCAGAAAAATGTAAGGATCATGTCTGTAAAATTAAAGAATCTTTTGACAGAATTTTGTTTTATTTTATTTTTTAAAGATGAATAATAGAGAAAATCATAAAAAAATAGAAGATATAAAAAAAGGTGCCGCTTGTTGCATTAATTGCTAAAATAATGTATTAATTTTATAATATAAAATATAAATAAAAATGTAAATTTTTGACCCATCCCGGCCCCTGGGTGCTATACTGCGCAGTCTGGGGGCTTTTTGACAGTGTTTTTTTTTCAGTTTTTGATGCCATTTTTTGCAGGCATGCACAGAAAAATGTAAGGATCCTGTCTACAAAATTTCAGAATTTTTTGGCGTTGTATGTATATTATTTTATTTTACAAAGACGAAAAATAGAGAAAATCATAAAAAATAGAATATTCATCAAAAAATGGTGACGCTTGTTGCATTAATTCTTAAAAATTGTGTATTAATTTTAGAATGCAAAAATAGTATATTAAAAAAATAATGGTGCTGCTTGTTGCATTAATTCTTAAAAATTATTTAGTAATGTTAGAATTCAAAACTTAAATAAAAATGTGAATTTTTCACATATCATGGCCCCTGGAAGCCTCACTGCGCGGTATGGGGGCTTTTTGACAGTGCTTTTCTTTCTTCATTTTTTGAGGTCATTTTTTTAGACATGCTCAGAAAAATGTAAGGATCATGTATGTAAAATTTCAGAATATTTTGAAGTCGTTTTATTTTATTTTATTTTTTTTAAGACGAATAATAGAGATTATAATAAAAAATAGAAGGTACATCAAAATATGGTGCCGCTTGTTGCATTAATTGCTAAAAATAATGTATAAATTTTAGAATGCAAAAGATAAATAAAAATGTGAATTTTTGACCCATCCAGGCCACTGGGCGTCCCAATGCGCAGGTCGGGGGCCTTTTGACAGCATTTTTGTTTTTTTATTTTTTGATCCCTTTTTTTGCCGGCAAGCTCAAAAAATTGTAAGGATCGTGTCTACAAAATTTAAGAAGCTTTTAACATCATTTTATTTTATTTTATTTTCCAAATACGAATAATAGAGAAAATCATAAAAAAAAAATAGAATACTAAAGAAACAATGGTGCCACTTGTTGCATTAATCCCCAAAAATCATGCATTAATTTTTGAATGGAAACCATAAAAAAAATGTGAATTTTTGACATATCCTAGCCCCTGGGGCCCCACTGTGCGATCTGGGGACTTTTTGACAGCGTTTTCCTTTTTTCATTTTTTGAGGCATTTTTTTGCAGGCAAGCTCAGAAAAATATAAGGATTATGATTGTAGAATTTTAGAATTTTTTGACGTTGTATTTATTTAATTTTATTTTTCTAAAACAAAACGTAGAGAAAATAATAAAAAAATATAATATTCATAAAAAAAACGGTGCCGCTTGTTGCATTAATTTAGAGAAATCATGTGTTAATTTAAAAGGCAAAACATAAATAAAATGTAGGTTTTTTATGCATCTCGCCCCACTGCGCAGGTGGGATCTTTTTGACATCGTTTTGTTTTTCATTTTTTTGGCCATTTTTGCAGGCATGCTTAGAAACATATAAGGTGCATTTGGAATTCGTTCTAAAATGATTTTATTTTTTGTATGAAAATGAAAATGAAAACATTTTCAATCTCAAACAGAAATCATTTTTAAAAATGCATTTGGTAATTTTATTAAGATATTGTTTTCAGTATAAAAAACCTATTAATGTATCTCTCTTTTTCTATCTGCTTGAGAAAGGAGAAAACAAAAAATGAAAAATGACTAAAAGTCATTTTTCATTTCTCTCTCATTTTACACTAAACTAAAAAATCGTTTTCATTTCAGTTTTTTGTCTTTATTGCGCGAAACGCCATTTTGAAAACCTTTTCATTTTTTCTTTCTCAAAAAACATAAAAAACAAAAACAAAATCAATTCCAAATACAGCCATAAGGATCGTCTTTGTAAAATTTTATAATTTTTTGACGTCATTTTTATTTTATTTTATTTTTCAAACAAAAAAATAGAGAAAATAATAACGAATAGAATATTCATCAAAAAATGGTGCTGCTTGATGCATTAATTCCTAAAAATGGTGTATTAATTTTGGAATGTAAAACATAAATAAAAATGTTAATGTTTGACTCATCCTGTTCCCTGGGCGCTACTGCGCGGGCTGTGTTCTTTTTGGCAGTGTTTTCTCTTTTCATAATTCGAGGCCATTTTTTGCAAGCATACTCAGAAAAATGTAACGATAGTGTCTGCAAAATTTTAAAACCTTTTGACATCTTTTTTATTGTATTTTAATTTTCAAAGAGGAAAAATACAGAAAATCATAAAAACTAGAATATTCAACAAAAAATGGTGCCAGTTGTTACATTAATTCCTAAGAATCATGTTTTAATTTTGGAATGTAAAACATAAATAAAAATGTTAATGTTTGACTCATCCTGGTCCCTGGGCGCCCCACTAAGCGGACTTTGTGCCTTTTGGCAGCGTTTTCTTTTTTCATAACTCGCGGCCATTTTTTGCAAGCATACTCAGAAAAATGTAAGGATCATGTCTGTAAATTTTTAAAACTTTTTGACTTCGTTTTTATTTTATTTTAATTTTCAAAGACGAAAAATACAAAAAATCATAAAAATAGGATATTCAACAAAAAATGGTGCCATGAGTTGTATTAATTCTTAA